AAAAGTAGCTCATGAAACCACCAGATGGACGTGGATCTTTGTCCCCTTGAGAAACAAACAATAACCACTATGGCTTTGAGTTGCAGAATATAGCAGAATCATCTACTGGATCTTAAACAATGATTGTAAATTGAAAAAATCACAAACCAGGAGAAGAGGGATTACCATGATACAGGAGAAGAGAGATCACTGCCGGCCGCATCAAACATAAAAGTTTGGCTTGAGTTTAAACATAGCGGTGAATGAGGGAATGGAAATCCATCTAAAGCATTGACGGGAAGACCACCTAAGCAATCGCAGGATTTGGATCCATCAATGGAGGATGGCGCCGTCGCTCAGCTAGCACCGACATGCCGACACCACCGGTGGTTAGGCGGGTCCTTTCTAAAAGCATTATTGTTAGATTTGCACCTAGCCGCCGCCATGTCGAGAAGTAAAGTCAAGTGCTCACTATCCGGGAGCGATGGCGATTCGAATCGCTGGTGATTTATTCCTTACACAAACCTCACTCCGCCACTTATCATCCCGCCGCGTGTCCACCAAGAGAGAGCCGTCGGAAGGTACTTTATCCGGCCAGCTAAATGTAAGAAGTTCCGACTCCGCACAAAGAAGCTCTTTCAGTTTAACACATTCAGTTGGGTATAATACATAATTCAGAAAATCATGCAACAATCATGTAAGAGCTGATTCATTAGATGGACGTGGGTCTTCATCGGCATCGGCTAGAAAAGAGCAAGCTAGTTGGCAAAAATTGTGTGGTTGATTACCAAAATACTATAACTCCCCAAACCTTGAAACTAATAATACAAGAGTGTTTTCTAGCAATGCATGAATAACCATCAAGACTAAGTATGCTGCAAGAGGGCATAGTTAGTTTCATTACCAATGCATATATGAAGTCCAAATTACCCAAACATTACATTAGGGCTACAACAGCTATTGATTTTGTAAATGCAGAGATTCAGTAGCATAGTACTATAAGTAGACTATGAGACCACCACACAACAAAGATTCATGAACATGAAAAATGTATGAAAACTGAAACACTCACTCCATCACAATCTGTAAATGAAACAAAATGAACATTAGCCATTAAAGGCACTTGCTATAAAACTACTAGGAAGTACATGACATAAGAAGATTAACAAACTTGAAAAATCTAAAATGAACTATGAGCTGACACTAAAATTATTTGTGGAACTCTGAAAATATGAACTCTGGAATCCACCTCCATTGAAATATGAACTCTGGAATCCATTGGTGAACGCCGAAGAGTTGGGGAAGCCACCTCCGTTGGATCCGTCGTCAATGGAGGATGCGTGAGAAGAAAGCGCGCTGTCGTCGTGCCCTTGTCGACGCTTAATGGAGGTGGGCGAATGCCGACTTGAAGGGTCGTTCGCCTTTGCTCGGTGAGGTGAAGGAGCCGCCACCACGTCCACCACGACCGAGAGAGCGGGCCACCAGCACCGCGCCGCCACCATGCCCAAGGGAGGGCCACCATGCCCAAGGGAGAGAGACCCCAGCGCCGAGCCACCACCACGACCTAGGGTTTGGGATGGGGCCGCCGCTACCGCATCCAACGCCGAAGCTGTGGATCCCTTCTTCTCCCTAGCTCCGACCGGTGTAGACATCTCTGCAGCACCCAAATCGAAGGCGAGGAGGGCGAGGTGGAGATGGATGAGAGGGACTGGGGAAAGTGACAAACTGGAGCACCTATGAGAGAGATATGGCGGGTGGAGATGATTTGGCGTGGAAACTTCCCGCGCGCCGCGCCCAAATCGTCGCTGCTCCCGCGTGCGCCGAAGGCTATTGCCCACGCGAGATCCGGGCGTGCCGTCGCCTCTAGACAACGAGGCCGTACAACGGAGCCTCGGACGTCTCTTCCGTCTGGGAGCACGGGACAAGCCCGTCGCCTCGCGAGGTGACGGGGCAGTCGTCTCTCCACTACATTGGGGGGTTTCTACAAAATCGTCATCAAAGAGACGGGAAAAAAGACGTCCGTTGTACGTGCCCTGAGGCGCCAGCATGGGAGGTCGGGAAAACAAATGGCGTGCCTGCCGGCTGGCGGCCCGGGATGGTCTGCACGATGGATGGGAATCCCAACGCCAGCCACCAGCAAGCAGTGCCTGCGATCCTGATGAGTGCGTGCACGGGGGCACGCGATGCGTCGCGTACGAACGTGATACAGTGTATGTCCTGCCGCCCCGACGCCACGCGCCACATGCAGTTTGCCGTTGCCCGCAGGAGCATTCCCGTTGCCGATGCCGTTGCAGCTGGACCTGGACGGACCGACGGAGGCTGCTGCGCTCCGGACCGCAGGGCGCACCGAGGCGGCAGTCAGGCGGTCGGCCGGGTTGGTTGCGGCTGACCCACCACTCCGCTGTCTGCTCCGCGGCGCGGACTGCGCCGGTCCGGTCCCTAGTCCCTTGCGGTCGGCGTCGGTCCCCGCGCCTCGCCTCGCCGAGGGTCCGCGACACGCACAGCACACAGACGGGCGGACAGCACCGTGCTCCGTGCGCCGGAGTGCTTGTGCGCAATGCGCATACGCCCGGGCCCGGCCCCGGCCGGCCACAGACCAGCCCTTGTTGTTGGAGGGCATCGATCTGAGTCGGAGAGACGGTCTAGTACTTACTAATCCCAGTCCTTCCTTATCATCCCATGGCCGCAGTGGGCAAGCGTGGCTGGAATCAGTGAAGCACTCACTCAAGCTAGTCAGTGGTCACGGGGGGCGGGGCCCAGGCGAGTCAACTTTTTCACATGCACATGCACATGCACATGCACATGATGAGCCCTAGCGAGCCGCACCCACGGCGGCCGGCAGCACATGCCGGCGCGGGCGCGACGCCCACAAACTGCAGCAGTATCACTATCAGTATCACCACCGCAACGCCCGCCGGGCCGCGAGGTTTGACGCGACGCGCGATCCATATCTGCTTTTTGTTTACGTACTCCTACGTTGGAGTAGGACTAGTATAAACGTACTCCCTCCGTATCACACATATTTCAATGTTTTTTTAACAACAATTTTTTCATTCATTCATTTGTTGCACAATTGTTTTGTAGTCATTCATGGAGTACTCGCCACACCTTGCAAACCGGATGTTTCTAACACTACGAGATGTCTTCATCGAAGCAATGAAAGTGAAAGGTTGCAACAAGTTTGAGATACCTCACATGAAAAAAGCAACACTAGAAAGAGAAGATAGGCTGCCATCTTGTATCCCTTGTGATCCATCATTGCTACATGAAGCCGAGGCTACTCTTGCTGCATGAAAAATTTGTAATGATGCTTGTTAGCTTTTGTTGTAGAGACATCTTGCTTTCTAGTAATGTTGCATGAACTAAATCATTGCCGATTGTTGCATGAACTAAATCATCCTTTCTAAGTTATCTTACCGATGCTTTGGCGGCGGCGTTTGTCGGCAGCAAGCCCTTGTAGTGCTCCATGAAAAGCTTGCAGTTCACCTTGATGTGGCCGAGCATGGCGTCGATGGCGTAGTCCGCGTGGACGAAACCACAGCTAGGGCATGGATAGAACCGAGAGTGCGCATGGTTCCACGCTTCGCGATCCTCATGGACGAGATGACACCGGCCGCATACAAACGCCCCCGGCGGCAAGGATTCCGGCACCATGTCCACGGAGTCCTGCAGCGCGACGACAGAGTTCTGCGGGGGGTTGACGGAGTCCTCGGCGTTGAGCAGCAGCGGGTCGACGGAGTCCGCGTTGGTGAGCTCCTGTGAGTCCAGCCCGACCTCCTCCATGGCGACCTCCAGCCCGACGTCCTCTTGCGAGTCCAGCCCGACATCCACCGTGGCGACCTCCTCCGACTCGGCAGAGACATCATGGCGAAGCATCACCCCACGCCGCCGCCCACCGCGAGATGGCGCCCACCGTCTGCCGCCGGCCCACCGCGGGCTCCTCCATGGGCACCGAGGGAGATGGCGCGGCGTCGTGCTCGCTGGGCGAAGTCGTACGCCGACCCTAAACCCTAGCTGGGACGGACTCAGCATGGCGAAGCGAGTGTGGACGGCGAGTCGCGAATAATTAAGGGCGCGAGCCGAGGAGTGCCGAGGGAGGCGAGCGGGGCGATCGGATGGGCGGCGCGCGTGGGAGGCGAGTCAAGGAGAGGCGATCGAGGCACGTGCGTGGACGAGGGAGGCGAGCGGACGGGCGGACGGGCGGCGTGCGTGGCCCAGGGGCAATCGCGTCCAAAACCAAGTTCCAGCGCGTGAACGTCTTCTTTTACCGCAAACCCGCTCGGCTCCAGAACGTCCTCTGTTTGTGATAGGGGGGAGTACAGCAGTTGAGCACTCAGCAGCATGCAGGTGAGGTCGGCACTCCGCACTAGTACTCCTGCTAGTCCCTACGTACTCCGATCCAGGACCACTCAGGATCATGGGCAGGCCGCGCCGAATCGTATTCGTATGTAATGTGTGTGTGTGGTCAGTGGTCACCCACCCACCACGGCAGCCGCAGCGCACGGCACCACGCCCGGCCGCGGCCGTGGAGGCGGAGGCTGTGAATGGATTGGACAAGGCTGAAAAGCCATGACACTTGACACGCCACACTGCCCTCCCTCGCTCCCTGCCGGCTGCCACGGCTCCCACCAAACACTACACGGCCCACTGCAGGCCTGCAAACTGCGAGGCAGCCATCCACTCCCGGGCCCGCCTGCCAGCGCCGGACCCACCGCACACAGCCACACTCCTCCTCACTCTCACTCGCTAGCTCAGCTCTCACTCTCCCAACGTCCTCCGTCCTCCGTCCTCCGTCCTCCCCTGACACGGCCACGGCCGTTCCCGTGCTGTGCTTGCATAAAAGCCACGAGCAGGGCAGTGAAGGCGGAGCGCGTGAGGAGCCGGAGAGAGAGAAGCAGCCATGGTGGACCTCTGCCCCCCGCGCCTGCAATAATACCACCCCAAGCCCCCAACCCACAACGCCCCAGGCTCTCACTGTTCGTATCCCAGCTCGTCGATGCCCCTCGCCGACCCCGCCAGCCATGGGCAAGAAGGGCGGCACGTCGTGGCTCACCGCCGTCAAGCGCGCCTTCCGCTCGCCCTCTAAGGACGACAGCAGCAGCCCCACCAGTAAGGCGTCGCGCCTCCGCGAGGACACCGACGGCGACGACGACAAGGTCCGCCTTCGCCTCCTCCTCCCTGTTCTGTTCCTCCACACCCTCACACATTCTCTTCTCTCTCTCTCCGTTCCTCCACTCCTTCTCACGTTCCCGGTCGTCCCTCGCCGCGCAGGGGAAGCGGGAGCAGCGGCGGAGATGGCTGTTCCGTCGTTCCTCGTCCCCGTCCCCGTCCCCGGCTCCCGCGCCCACGGCGCCAGACCACGCGCACCCGCGGCCCGCGGCCGTGACGGAGGAGCAGCGGCACGCCATCGCGCTGGCCGTGGCGACCGCGGCGACGGCCGAGGCGGCGGTGGCCACAGCACAAGCAGCCGCGGAGGTGGTCCGCCTCACGCGCCCCGGCGCCGTCCCCGCCGGCAGCAGCTTCGTGCGCCGCGAGCACTACGCCGCCGTCGTCATCCAGACCGCGTTCCGGGGCTACCTCGCCCGCCGCGCGCTGCGGGCGCTCAAGGGCCTCGTGAAGCTGCAGGCGCTGGTGCGGGGCCACAACGTCCGGAAGCAGGCCAACATGACGCTCCGGTGCATGCAGGCGCTGGTGCGCGTCCAGGCCCGCGTCCGTGACCAGCGGATGCGGCTCTCCCAGGACTCCATGCTCTCCCTGTCCATGTCCGGCGCCGGCGCCGCGCCGTGTGGTAGCAGCAAGTCGTCGTACAGCGTCGATACGTCCACGTTCTGGGACTCCAAGTACGCCCACGACTACGCCGACCGCCGCTCCGTTGTAAGCAACCATACCACACCACTCGTGCCATTTTGCTCTAGCTGTTCGCGGGAATGAACGTTCTTGCAATGTGGATCATTCGTCTGTCGGATTTGGTTGCAGGAGCGGTCGCGCGACGGCAGCAGCTTCGCCGCCGACGACTGGGACGACCGGCCGCGGACGATAGAGGAGATCCAGGCCATGCTGCAGACGAGGAAGGACGCGGCGCTCAAGCGCGAGAGAGCGCTCTCCTACGCCTTCTCGCACCAAGTGAGACGACGTTTCCTTTTTCTTTCTATTCTAGGAGTATTGGTTGGCAGATAGTGATAAGTGATAGTGATAGCATCATCATAATCCGTCGTTCGTTTCTGCTTGCCACTTGGAAACAAAGATTTGGAGGAACCCGGCGGCGGCGGGGGCGTCGGCGGAGGAGATGGACGTGGACGGGCAGCCACGGTGGGCGGAGCGGTGGATGGCGTCGCGCGCGTCGTTCGACACCAGCCGCAGCAGCATACGCGGCGCGGCGGCGCCCGGGCGCGCGTCCATGGACCAGCGCGAGCCGGTGAAGACGCTGGAGATGGACACCGCGCGGCCGTTCTCGTACTCGACGCCGCGGCGAGGGTCGTCCTCACCGATGCACCGCACGCATCAGCAGCAGGCTCACCCGGCGGTGGCGACGCCGTCGCCCGTGAAGTCCCGGCCGCCGATCCAGGTGCGGTCGGCGAGCCCGCGCGTGGACCACCACCACGGGAGCGGAGGGAGCTACACGCCGAGCCGGCTCCACTCGCAGCGTCACGCGTCGGCGGCCGCGGCGGTGCCGAGCTACATGGCGGCGACGGAGTCGGCCAAGGCGCGGGTGCGGCCGCAGAGCGCGCCGCGGCAGCGGCCCGCGACGCCGGAGCGCGACCGAGGCAGTGGCGGTGGGTCGGCGGCGGCGAGCGGCGCGAAGAAGCGGCTGTCGTTCCCGGCGCATCCGCAGGGGCGGGTGGCCGCGGAGTACGCGCAGAGCCTGCGGATCCCGAGCTTCAAGAGCGCGGCGGGGCGGTTCTCGTCGGAGCAGCGGTCCACGGTGTCGTCGTCGTGCGCGGACAGCCTCAACGGCGGGGACGTGGTGGTGTCGCGGTCGTCCACCACGGACCTCCGGCGCTGGCTCCGCTGAGTAGTAGCGGGTGTTCTGCCGGCCGGCTCACGGCCGCCGGCGCGTGGCTCGTCAGACAGACACGGCCACGTGCTTGCTCCTTTCTGTATTTTTTTTTCTTTCTTTCTCTTCTCTTCTCTAGGTGTAATTCATGGCAGCCTTTTTGCTTTTTTGAGCGACGGATTGGAGTTGGAGCGTGTGCTCGGTGCAGTGGTGTGTCCCTCCCGATCGTCAGAGGCAAGGTCGCAGGCTGGACTGCAACTGGAAAGGGAGCAGGAGGTTTGGGAGAGCGGGAAAAAGGGCGTTGGGGTTGCGTTGCATTGCATTTGGAAGCTGGAGCGGGCTGTGGCGTGGCGCCTTTTGCCTTTCGCCGTCTTCTAGGGCCTCGTTTAGATTCCCAAGTTTTTTCACCTTCTATTCATCACATCAAATCTTTGATACATATATGGAGTATTAAATGTAGATAAAAAAACAACTAATTACACAGTTTGATTGTAAATTAAGAGACGAATCTTTTGAGCCTAGTTAGGCCATGATTTAACAATAATTGTCAAATACAAACGAAAGTGCTACAGTGCCAAATCCTGATTCCTAACACTCATCTAAACCAGGCCTAGTTGGGTCAGCCGAATTTTTTATTTTTTAGCTTTTTTTTAAAGTTTATCACAAATAGACCCCTAGACAAAAGATTTTAGAACATAGACCCTTAACTCGGCGCCATCGATGCTGGCGCTGAGCTAACTCGTCTCGACGTCAGCGTTCCTGGCGCTGAGCTCCTGGGCTCGAAGCGAACGTCGAAGGTGACACGGCAGGAAGCTCGGCGCCAGGGTAACTGGCGCCGAGCCTTTATTACCTATGGGTCCTGCCCCTCTCTTCCTCTCTTCCTCTCCCTCTCTCGCCCTAGCAGAGCCGAGCTTCGCCGCCGCCGTTGCCGCCCGCGCACGCGCCTCCACCGGCCGCCCTCGCCCGCGCCGCGCTAATTCACAGGAGACACTCTACAATGATCCATATTGCACCTGTCCTAACCACAAGATCAAGGGGCCTCCCCCATCACCGCCGCCACCACCAACAACAACAACGGGATGCTACTATAGAAAGGTGCAACACAATTTGCTATGTGGCCACACTACTAGGATGACTTTATCTTATTCACATGTCACATCTATGTGTTTGTTGTTTGGTTTAATTACCTAGAACATGTTAGATTTAGTCGAAGGAAACTCTATACCCAGGTTCAGTACATGTTCTCACATGCCATTTCATGTGTTTTGTGTGTTGAATTATATAATGTCGTACGTCGTTAGGTTTTATTTGCAGCACGTGTTCACATTTCAATACGTCCGTAACATTAAGCGGGATATTGAGACCATAAATAATGAAAACAACCACATAATGAAAAGTTCAATACTATGCCACATTAAACAACATAATAATACTAGAAGTACGTGTCGACAGTAGACATAGGGGCAAATACACTTTCAAATCCTCAGTCTAAAATATGCTGAGTAAGCAACTCATCATCCGGGTACCAGTCCTCTACTACAACCCTGTTGCTGTGGCTAGGCTCACCTGCGTTTCTCTGACCTGCATGTCGCCTGTACTAAGCGACCTCCGCTACATCTGCGGCCGCTGTGGCCTGAGTAAAGAACGCGTCGTCATCCTCCTCCGCCTGTAAGCCCGCCTCTGCTAGATCGATGAGCTCGCTCAGTCTGTTAGTGTCTTCCTCAGCCTCCTTCGCCTGCAACCCCGCCTCTGCTAGAGCGATGAGCTCGCTCAATCTGCCAGTATCGTCCTCAGCCTCCTGCGCCTGCAAGCCCGCATCTGCTAGAGCAATGAGCTCACTCAGTCTGTCAGTGTCGTCCTCATCCTCGTCCCCCTCATCAGACAACACAATCGGTGATTGAACGGTACGACCAATTCGCGATCTATGCTCATCTAACTTCTTCTCCTCATACCTTGCAAAGCCAGCTATGCGGCATGTTCTTCGCTACAACCAATCCCTTCATGTATAAAATGCAATCAGTTAGCAACGTAATTATATTACATTTAAAATCAGGCAACGAAAAAAATGCTTTCAAGCACTCACTGGCACATAATGCAACAATATGCTCGTTCAAGACCTGCATCTGTACTCTTGTCTCCTCCCTTGCCTCATTCCTTGCCCTCTCCTCTAACGTCATCCGTCTCTCCAATCCCCATTTGTTAAGCCCAACATCGATCGGGTTATAAATACCGCGTTGTCTAGCAAACTCACAATCTTTTCTTTGTGATATTTAACGAATAGGTTCGCGTAGTCAGGTCCATATCCCCTCTTCTATGCAATTACTTGGCTCTTCTTCAGTTCATCCAAGAACTTAGCTTGACCATCATAACATTTTCATCTGCATTTTCTAACGCTCTGTTCAAACAAAAAATTATATCATATATGTCTTAGCAAAAGAAACAAAATATGATTTCATGTTTACCACAAAAATAACCAACCTCATCATACTCAACCATATGGCCGCAATAATGGCCCATTCCAAGCTCCGAAGGGACTAGGCCATAGTTGGATTTAACACCACATTCGCACATGACAGGAGGTGCTTTGTAAATTACCCTTTCTTTCTTCTTTTCCTTAACCTTTCGCGGTTCTTCCGGCCATTGGTTCTTAGGACCATACAACCACTCCTTGAAACGACACTTCACCATTGAAAACACCTAAATAAGTAGACATTAGTATATGAACACATATAGCTCAACATTTCAACACATACACTTTGCACTTACTTTATACTTGTTTGGACACACAAACTCCAACGTATTCTTAGGGTTTATCACAGCTCGATCTCCACAATCGCACAGAGGAGGTTCCTCGAGTCGTCTAACTACGGCTAGGTGCTTCTCCTCAGCCGTCATTGACGTAGGGTTAGGGGGTTGGAACCCACCGCTTGAAGTGCTCACGTGGATGTCTCCCTCTAAACCAATCGTCGAAAAGGAGGCACCTAGGATCAAACTTGTCTGCATCGTCGATCCACTGAAAGAAAAAACACCACTCATGGTCCTACACAACGAGATTCCAATAAAATATTAGTAGCATACTTACACAAATAAAGAAAAAGGATAGTGGAAATAATTTCTTATATTAAAACGACTGCATGTGTAGAAGCAACGCGCCACTGCGTCCGGATGTTTCGATTGAAAAACATGGGCCGGGAAACCACAACCACAGTTAGGGACAGGGAGGTTAGGAGGGACGGGGACATCTTTGCTAGACGCGTCGGGGTATAATTCTCAAGGACGACCCCGTTTTCGCCAAAACTCCTCCCGAAACATTTCTTGCATCTAACAAAACGGATATAATTTAACAAACAAAACTCAAAACATCACAAATAAATGTCAATGCGAACCAGAACTACAATACAACCAATTTCGTTCTTAGAACCGAAAGCAATTAACATTAAACCCTAAACCTAGCATTTTTCATTTGATGCACAACAATGAACCCATAACATAACTACATGTGCCTAGGGTTGCTAGCTTTTCCACGCCTTGGCATCATCCTACGGTTGTATAATACAAATATTGAGGGATAGAATGAAAACCTAACTAATGACGATTCTTAAGTTCAAAAATCCGACTAATATATACCAAATCGATGCGAAAAAAACTAGGAGGGGAGCGAGGATACCTTGCTCTCGAAGATCTACGGATCAAATCAAAGTTTTCAAGGTCCAATATGTCGATTCGTGAGGTAGGGTGAAGTGGGGAGAGAAAAAACCCGAGAGAGAGGAGAAAGAAGAGGAAGAACGCTCGGGCAGGAAGGTTGGGCCGGGGTTAAAATAAAGGCTCGGCGCCAGTCACCCTGGCGCCGATCTCGGCGCCAGGGTGACTGGCGCCGAGCTTCCTGCCATGTCACCTTCCACGTTCGCTTCGAGCCCAGGAGCTGACACCGAGACGTGTTAGCTCAGCGTCAGCATCGATAGCGCCGAGTTAAGGGTACATATTCTAAAATCTTTCCTTCATGTCTATTTGTGAGAAATTTTCGGAAAAAAAGGCTAAAAGTTAAAAATTCGGTCTCTCGGGGGCGGCATGCGAGTTTGGGCCAGCGCTCCCCTCGTGTCCGTCTCCGTCCACCCAATCCAATCCAGGGCCTTGTTCACTTTGCAAATTTTTTGAACCCGATAAATAGTACCACTTTCGTCTTATTTGGCAAATATTGTCTAATCGTGGACCAACTAGGCTCAAAAGATTCATCTCGTGATTTCCAACTGAACTGTGTAATTAATTATTTTTTTACCTACATTTAATACTCCATGGAAGCGGCTAAAAATTGATGTGATGGAGAGAGAGTGAAAAAACTTGGAATTTGGATGGCATCTAAGGGCCCGTTTAGATTGCAAAATTTTTTGGCCCAGCCCAAAATTTTTTGGCTTTGGGCTTTTTGGAACTAAACGGCACCCAAAATATTTTGGCCTTAGTACTGTTCATGGTGGGGTGTTCGGCCTGGCACTGTGCGGTTTGGGAGGCGTGAATGACGCCTGGTACCCCGCACCCACCCCTTATCCATTCATCTTGCTCGCCCGACACTGCCCCTCTATCCCTCACTCTCATCCACTCTCGAACCCTAGCCCCACGCCGCGGTCTCCCTCCCACACGCGCCGATCTCCCGCCATTCCAACGCCGCCGCAGATCCACGAGCTACACCACTAGATCCACCCCGTCGGAGTCCGGATCGAGGACCACCTTCGCGCGTTCGGTGATGGAAGGACACGACAGCGACGACATGAACGGCACCGGCTACAACAGCGACCATGGCATCGACGGCGCCGGCCACGGCAACGATGCGCGCACTAGGGATTTCCTGGCGCCCTGTAATCCCTGGGGCCATGCCGGCGGTAGCGGCCTCTTCCCCGACGTGGCGCAAACCGTCTCAGGTTCAAGCAGATTCAACCAGTCCCAGCTGGGGTTGGAGTCGCTGGATCTCAACGGCGGCGAGGACTGGCCGTAGATGCAGGCCTATGTGGGCTACATTCGGGGGG